AAAAAAAAAAAAAAAAAAAAAAAAAAAAAAAAAAAAAATCACACTGCTGTCAGGTAAAATAATCAAGTATGCCCTTGAGTCCCAGGATGCTGACTAGGGTAACCTGACAAAAAAAATCAGGTTTTAAAGAAAGTAGAGAGGAAACAACTTAGTGATAACACCTGAACTCTAATGAGCACTCCACTCAGAAAATTTGGACCATAACAATTGAAAACAATAGTCTTGTGTCTACTGACGAGGGAATGCATCCAGCCTGGTGTACTCACAGACATGCATTTCAAAAAGATAACTTGGTATTTCTCTTACACGACATCTTATTACATGTATTGTTCTGCAATTTTATGATATTAAGTTTGCCACTTCTCTCAAAAGTTATTCAATTAATATGTAAGAGTTAGATGTGAGAATATGTAGTGGAAATAAGTCAGATCTCATGGCTAGGTATGGAGGGATGACAATGAGTGGTAGTCGGAGGTTGTTTAAGGAAATCGCTTCCATAAAAGGTGGAAAACATTGCAAGAACTTTCTTTCTCTTCCATCAGAAGAGGAGCAGGACTTGAGCAATCTCACATAGAAATTCTTTACTGACTGTTTACTCTCCTAGGGAAAAGTAGGTAGTGACTGCTGGTAGTCTAAGGATGAAGACAGGTGCCCCAAACAAAATTGATTTAAGCAAAGAAACAGAGTCACATTTCACTGTCACAGCTTACGATCTGCTGGAAAAGGGGTAGAAAATTGAATGAACAGCAATGTGAGATCAAAGAGATGTTTAATGCTGCCACAAACTTTGACCGGTATGGCCAACCACTGTATCATTAGAACAGAATTCCAGGCTTAAAGCTACTTAACTCCTGTAGTTGAAAAATGAATGTATATGATAATTATTTATTTACTGCATCAGAAAAAATGAAACCCTTAATTGAGTAGAGGGAAAACAAAGGGGGTTGCTCCACTATAGGGAAAAACAAACACTACACATTTGTGTGGTCGGTTAAGCAACAGAAAACTGAGTATAAAGATTCCCATTGATCACATCTCCAAATACTGAATATTATCAGTAGATATAAATTCATATTTATATGTCACATATTCAAGTGCTGTGCCTATCTTATGATTAACAAAACCGCTAAATGCTTCGTTCAGTTTAATTTTTAGACTCTTTTACACTGGCTACTGTACAGCACGTAAAATGGTTCACTGCATATTGCATCTGCTTAGAGCACTGCGTGTGTTGCCTCTTCAAAAAGGCTTACTTCTCTCATTCTTGAAATACGTAAAATTTGAAATTTTGATATTAGATCAAACACTAGTTTTAAAACAGGTCTAGAAACTCAAAGACAGAAGTTATACTGCGACACTACAGTAGTGTCAGGAGATTACAGCAAGCACAAAAAATACAGTTTGTCTTGAAACACTTGAAATTACTAAAACGGCAATATTGAAACAGCCAAGTGTGCCATGGCCTGTGTAAAAGCTGTAAGCAAAAAACACATTCAAATAGAACACTTAATCTTCCCTATATTTTAAAAACCTTAATTCATAGAAGAAAGGGTATTTTTAAAAAAATATTACCAAGCAAAGACCACACAGCTATCCCAGCATGAAACCATAACTGCTCAGTTCACGACCTGTATACTCAGCACATTGTCTACCAGGCAACATGCATATTCACAGATTTCCATACCTTCGTATTTGCAAGTCGAACTTCACAGAGGTATCCATTTCAGATTGCTGGTGCACACTGAAACGCAGGCCAGCTAATAGCTTAAAAAAAAAAAAAAAACAACAAAACAAACCACCATGGTCCAGTGGAAGTAAAATAAAACACCAAGTAAAAGTTTCTTAGTACTATTATACTACAATGAAATTGCTTTAGCATGAAGCCATAAAAAGAACACAGTACAGAATTGGCAAATAAAATTTGACCAGTTAATTATAGAAGTAAACATACTTCTCTCTCTGTATCGATTTCTGTCAATCTCCCAATGCCCTAACACAGAAATATGTGGTGTATATCACGCTCACCACCTTGCTTGAGCTATTTACACGTAACTGAGTATCCAGATGTGTTACAAAAATTGCTGTGGTCTGAAGAACAGGGCAAAGTTTAACATGAAAATTCACAGTTCCCAAGGTCAGTGCATAACAGTTGCTTCAATACTTGTGCAATTCAGGTTGGTTATACCCTGAAATACTTCGGAAATAGCATTTGTTAATCTGTACAAGATGCCTCTTGGAAGAAAACACTGTCAAAGCGTTTTTAATTGCAACTGATTTTCACTTTATTTCCTCAGAAAACTAGACCTCTTAAGTCATAATACCTTAACATCTGCCAGGTACCACTAATTGTTTTTGAATTCCTGCAATTTTGGCTACGTTTGATTGAAGCACAGAGTTTTCAGCTAGTCTTAATACTGGCTCAGACTTGACAAAACTAGACAGAGACAATATTCATTTTCCATAACAAAGAGAAAGGTATATTATGAGCTAGCTGTTTATTACATACCAAAAAATTAGTATTCTATAAATCTAGAGACACGAGGGACATAAGGGACCAAAATGCATTAATTCCTCTGTTCACTGAACTACATATTTTGAGTTGCATCATGAAACTCACAAACACACATGCTCCTTTTAATTCAATTTACTTGAGAAACTGAAACCAATTTCCATTGAATTAACCAGATGTGGGTACCTAGATGTTTAGCTGAACCTCCTGTCAGTAAACACCCTGTTCAAACACTACCTGTGAATAAGAAAAGTCCCAGCTGCCCTCCTGCTGGAACTTCTAAACACCTGTTGGACCAAATCTCACCTTAGTTCCTGCTTTCATGGGATTTCCCAGGTCACAAACCACCATGCGAGTTTGATTCTCAGTTTTAAATGCACATGACAATCTTGCTAAAGCCTACAGTAAAATAAAAAAAGATTAAGGAACATCATTCTTTACACTTGACATCTCTTTAACAGGCCAGAGAAGAGTGCTAAATATGCTGCATTAATTTTAACATCATTTCTCAGTCGTAACATAATCAAGCACTATAAATTCAATGAAATCTGAATATCCAAGTTTGCAAGAAGTGAGACAGATGCTCTTTCCAAGGTTATCACAGGAGAAATTCAGTGCTCTTATGTTGGACAGACCTGATTATTTCAGTGATCTAAAGCATTTTTCCACTTAATTCTTTATAACCTATGTGAATAAACTTTGGCAATCAGGGAAGTGTTAAAACTCTCAGCAGAAAATACGGATCGGAAAGCAAAATAACACAAATACTCACTAGCTTACTCAACAAGAGGTGTTAAAGGAGCTGTCAGATTTTTGATATATTTAAATTTGAATGGCTACCATTTGCCTAAAGACTGATAGCAGATAAAATCTGTGTGTCAGACCCCATGACACAGACTTTCCTTTGTTGCTACCAGCAGACTCAAACTAGAAACATTTGCCAAGGTGTCAGGTAAACACAGGGCTTGGAAGAATCTTAGAGCACTACTTTGGAGCTTTGCTTCAAGACTTCATCTTAAAAAGTATCACTGATGGACTCTCTCCTGCTGGCTTCAATAGCAACAATTACTCAAAGAAGAACAATATTTGCAATTTTACCTCATTATTTCGAACAACACCAATGAAATCTGCTTGGGGAGGAACGATGACAAAGAGTTCTGCTTCGTAGGCTCCTTCCCCTTGATTCTCTGCATTGACAGTCAGCGTTAAGGGATTGTCATCACCAATGTAGATCTTCTTCTGATCACTGAAGTAAAGCAAGGGTAAAATGATCAACATATAAACAAATTATGTAGCCCAACACTTGCTTTTTAACAGAGTAAACAATTATTAACAACTACATCCCTGTGCACATTTGAATTACATGCCTACTTTACAGAAGTACAAGCACACATTTATAACAAAAGTTGATGGAAGGAAGGCTCAACTACAGAATACAGCCACACCTCTCTAATACATTTGTTCCAAATGCAAATACAATATCTTTAAAAAAAAAAAAAAAAAAAAAGTATTTCTATTATTTTCATGTTACCAACCAAAAGTTAAACTAAATATAGCTGCACTAACGTAAAAGGTTTCTGAAACATTTGCATGAATGAGCATACCCACACATAAATGAGCAAACACTGTAGATATAACGGCATAAAATATGTTAACAGTTATGAGTAGAGGTAGTATATTCAGAATGGCTTTCAGGCCTAACAAGCAGAAGAAGCTCAGCCTCAGGACAACAACTGCAATAGAGAGCTTGTTCTTTTTTTCTTGAATATATAAAAGATACTGCCAATACTAACAAAAGGCAAAAGAAGCTTTATCCACCCATGCTGAACAAAAACATGCCTGTTCATATTTTCATGTTCCTGTCTAGTATTAAATAACCTAACACTGGTGTAGCTACGAGTAATACTACCGTTATATCCGGGTCAGCAAACATGGACATAAAAAGCTGTGTTCAATGGTACTGGAGAGGGTGCATTGCTCTCCCTGTATTACATGCTAGTGACATTTGGTTACAAAGCAGAAAAAAAAGGTTTTCCCAGCAACAAACAGGTCCTACTTATTTCAAGAGACTATTTTAACGGAAGTATTACAAAGCTCTTGAAGTCCAGAATTCAAGGTTAGAATTCAAATAGTGTTGTTCTCTTTTCATATGGCATTTTTGTCATATAATTACCTTCTTACTGAAACCTCCAGCTTTGGTTTGCAGATGTTATCCTCACCACAATCCAACAGGATGTGTGCCTATACAAAAATCAAAAGCATATTTAATTATTTGTGCATAACATACCAGTTAATCAAAGAATCTGCCACACTTCTCAGCTCCAGCACTAACACCTACATGACTTGGTCCTCTTTCATTACTTTGAATCTATTTATCTTGAGTTTTTGCAAACAAGTTAAAACTTTCCTCTTTACAAACAAGAGTAGAAACCGCATACAAAAGAGCAGGAACAGAAGTCACGAGATCTGTAGAGATAAATGGCTAAAACACATAAAGCAGCACAGCGTGAGGAATGGAAAAAACACTCCAATCCTTTAAGGGATTCTGTACTGTTATCTTCTTTTCTCCAGAAAAATGTTACACTGCACAGATGAACAAGAAATCCAGCGCTAAGGATTGAAATATTTTAAAGAAAAAGAAAAATGTCACAGAGGGAAGGAAAAAAAAGACGCATAAGAAAAAAAAGCATGCAAGTCCAATCTAAAGTTGCATAATTCAAAGGCTAAGGCCTAGATAGATGTTTTTGTATCATAATTTTTGATAAGCGCTAAGATGAACATACGTTTTGAAAGCTGAAAATATATTCTTACAAAACCTGTGATGACAGAACATGGAATTGTACCTGTCTGCTCATATTAGCAGGAGTGAACTGATTGAGGATAGGAGGCAATCCTGTTGCATCTGCAGCTGTTTTGTAATCAAGACGATATTCCATAAAAATTGTAATGGGAGTTAATTTGTCTCTAAATTCAGATTCATCCTAAGGAAACAAAAAAAATTGAATTACAATTAGAACTCATAAAGAAAACAAAACCAAAGATCTTCTAGTTAACAGCCATCCCAACAGCAACACTGAGCAGTATTTTTACTTATTGATCAACTTGCAGTAGGAACTAGGAGACTGAAACAGCATACCAATATCTGAGCTCTTTCCAACTAAAACGTGTCTTCTCAAAGAACTTGCGTTGTATACTTCAATATATACAGTTTTGGTTTTAGCAAGTATGATTTACAAAACATAAAAGGAGAGCATACAGAAAGATTAAGTCATAAAACTTAAGCAACAAGGAATCTTTGAGCCTGAACAATTCTACTCCTTCCTATAACAAAAAAAAAATCTGTATGTTTCTTAAATCCCTCACAGATGTTCATCTTCAGACTTCCTGAAAATATTCATTTACAATGGATTCATTCGTTTTCATACTATTCATTTCAAATAATTGTTGAGTTCATTACAGGACCTTACTTCAGAGGCTATCTTCTATGGACAGAAATCTATTATTAACTCTTTTCCTGACAGTTTTCAACCATTTTTGTGTTCTATTTGCAGTCTTCTCATATAGATCGTAATTGTTAGTTTCCATATAAGAATGTTTTACCACCCAGAGTTTCTGCTCTTGGGTCAGACTTTGTATTTGTGGACACCTGTCCACATTTGTAGAGACTGAAGCAAAAGTCTGATAAAAAGCATATGGAACATTTCAGCTATTTCCATCTCCTCTAATTTGCTGATTTTCGCTTTATGGTTGAAAAATCTGTATTTTTCTTTCTTTTGCTTCCAAAGTAGAAGTACAACCCCTTCTTATTGTCTTCCAAGTTACCTGTAAATTATAACTAATTTTATGTCTAGGTGACTTGTCCATGAAGTGCTTTAAAGAATTTGAATTGAATTTCCAGTCCATTTAGTGACCAGGATCTTAATCAAAATACTAATCCTCTTCATCCTCTGGCAGCAACATTAACCCAGGAAAGATAGACCAGTTTAATAGTTCTAGGTTTATCCACTAGGCATGAAGTTTCTCCAGTAATAATTTTCCTAGAACATGAATAGATGCTCACCCTCAGAAAAGCATCAAGTTCTTCACAATTCATTTTGCCTCCCTTTGTAATAGTCATGTTCTTGGAATGGCTAGGCTGTTTGCTGTGGAGAAAGAGAGCTCTCCTTATAGCTCCTTTTTGCTTCAGTTTATCCAACAGCAGCTCCACTTGGAAATCTGTCCAATACAAAGCATTTGGATTAGGGATATTTATCCAATTACACACAAAGCAGATCTGCATCAGAAGTGAGCTTAAAAGTTGATTTCACCTTTCAAATAATATATAATGCTATAAATATAATAATTAGTATTTAATACTTAGAAATTGTAAAACTTTCGTTTATTTAAATACAAAAATCTGTTAATACATCATTCTCAGTACAGTAACTAAGAATAAATAAGAAGTGCCACGATTACCCAAAAATCGAGCTCCACTCATTCTTTCAAAACAAAAACTGTATTAATGTTTGAGCAATGAAAAATTCATAAGTGCTTTGGAACTGCAAGAGAAATGCTTTTCCAGCCAGTAAATAGTACAGCAGCTTTGTACATAATATGTACATAATTGAACTGTGTTGCTAACTTAGCTACTTCAAATATTCAATACAGATAATGAAATATAAAATATTTACAGCAATTTTTGAATCCTCCCAAATCATACCTCCGATATGCATGTCATAGAGGAAATAAGGAAAAGCATTTCTAATTGCTAGTCACAACTGGGCTATAGCACGCCATCTGCCATACTATACAATCTCAAGAAAAACTTTAAAAGCTGTTTGAAGCAGTCTTTTTCTGATTCTGACCTAGAAAATCTGATCAGAAAATCAGTGATATCAATCAGAATCTGAGGATTTCAACAAAAATGTGAGACGTGCTTTGTGTCTTGTCTATATTCTTAAGGCCTAACTAAACATGTGCTTGAATGTTCTTGTTTAAAATTCTCCTCTACATAACATTTCATATCAGTTCCATAAAATAGAAAGAATTTCTCAAGACTAATTCCACAAAATGGTGAGACATGCTTCAAGTCCCAATCACTCTAAAAACCACACTGATTTCAACTGACTCAAGTTAACAAAAAAAAAAAAAAAAAAAAAAAAAAAAAAAAAAAAATCCAACACCAAACCCTACTGAAGAAAGTCTTGTAGATTTGTAGTTAATGAACTGGCAAAATTGTGTTATAAATAGTTACCATTTGTTTCAGGAATGAAAGAATTACAACTAGCACCTTTGTCTGCAAACAGGATAAATGAAGGCAGAACAAAAAATGTAATAAAACTTACTGAGTGAATTAGGGAGCTTTCCTTTGCCATCTGCTTTTAAGCAGAATTTTACTTTGAAGCTGTTTTGGAAGAAAAGAAAGGATTAATTTCACACATTTTCCCCCATCTTATTTTCTTCTAAAACTCCTTACTGTTTTTCTCAGTTCAGAGGTCTTCTGTTGCGAGACTCTAACTCAATCCCAAGCCCTGATTTCTACTACTGAAAAAAAATTGCAGCCTATTAATAAAACAGACAGCAAAGAAAGCAATGCAAAGCTTTGGGGTGCAAAAGGAGCATGGCCAGCAAGTCGAAGGGGCTGATCCTCCCCCTTTATTCTGCCCTGGTGTGGCCACATCTAGAGTACTATGTCCAGCTCTGCGCTCCCTGGTTCAAGAAAGAGAGGGATCTTCTAGAGAGAATCCAACAGAGGGCCACAAAGGTGATTAAGGGCCTGGAGTAACTCCCTTGCAAGGAAAAGCTGAGAGACCTGGGGCTGTTCAGGCTGGAGGAGAAAAGGGTAGAATTATAGAATCATAGACTCCTTTCAAAACTTGAAGTTTATGAAAATAAAAAGTTGAAAAGCTGCTTCTTCTCCAAGGAAAATAGAGATATTCTACTTACCATGAAACTTTTACATCTGACAGTGAACAGGCTTTGTTTTCTGGGTTTAGAATGGTTGGATTAACTTCCAGGGCAGCATTCACTCTAATAACTGGTCTGGCCCTAAAAAGAAGACATCCTTTTGAACAGCATTCTGCACCATGGTAGACAGTGCCCTTCCCACTAAACTGCAACATGCACACTGAGAAAATAATTAGTGGAAGTTCAAGAATAATGAATAATCTTGGAGTTGATTAAGGAAAAAGAGAATGATTTTCCATACTCTTTTACTACCATCAGAGTTGTGACATTGACAACTGTGTTAAGGAAAAGTCCTTCCTATTTTCAACACAGACAAATATGCTATTTTCCCCAAATGACCAAGTCTTGGGGAGAATACCGGGACTGCACAGCGTAATAGCTAGCAGCAACCTCTTTCTTAGAATCCAGAAAACCGTCAGTCAGAAAGCTTTAAAGACAATTTTGAATTGTCTCGTAACAACAGATACATTGAGAAGGATAAATAATGAGATTACAAATTTCTCCAGTAAAAACAGCAGTATAACCTTTTCCTCCTCTCCTATCTTCAGTAGTCCAGAAGACAGAATGGCAGAATTTCAGACTTCACTAATCTTGCTTTGTTTTGTAACTAACAAATGCCAGTGAGCTTTCCTTCTTTATTTACTTTTGCTTTTGTAAAAGCACAGAGGAATACACACCTATACAAAACAGCTGTGTCAACACCAAAGGCTCCAACAATCAAGTCTAAGAAAAAAGGAGAGAAAAGGGAAATAATACACTTTTATATATATATATTAATAGGCTGTTAGTTAGAGGTAGGGCTGCTATTAATCTAAAGTGACATGTAGAGCCAAGGACCTGGATATCCATTTTTGTCCACGTCTGTGGCTCCTTTCAGTGAGTACCCAAAGCTGGGTGGCATAGTACGAGCAGCCCACTGCCCTTCAAGAATCTGAGATGGAACTGCATTCAAACCAGTTGCTCTTCCATTGTAGATATAGACAAGTCCTCTCTTGTCCTCTCCACCGTATGGTGCAGCTACTGCAATATCTGTAAAACAAAAGAACAATCTTTAACATCTTTAATATTTATGCTGATGATCTGTAATTTCTGATCTTGTGATTTTGATCTATATCAACAGGAACAGAATGTAACAAGTCTTTAAAAAACTTTTTTTTTTATATTTTTTTTATTTTTTTTTTTTTAAATTGTATGCTAGGATATCCTAAAAAGTTAGCAAGAGCATACCAGACTTTTATTTGGGTGTGGAGAGTAAGAGGAACAGTTCTGCAAATACTTATGCACTTCACTAACTCACAGATGGATCAGATGGATTTGGGATAGTTTTGAGTTTATTTAACACCCAAAATTAGTCACTGCTGGAGACAAATCAAAAAAGTAAGTAGAACTATTTGTCCATTTCATTAACATGCTCATGTTCCTCCAAAGGGTGTGGTATCTTAATAGTTGTGGAAGACTCTGAAATCAGCCTAAACAAATGTTAAATATTGAATTCCAATCTACTGGTATCAGGGCTTGGCCATTTACTTTATGGAGAATCTTCAGTTACGTCAATTACATTTTTTAAGTTTAATATGTTTGTCAGCACTTAACAGTTAACAATAAACAGTAATAAATAAAATGCTAATCAGACTCCACAGGAAATAATACCTCTAAAAGCAGCTTTAGAGCATACTGGTGACCTAAAGTAAATGTTTCCCCAGCAGGTTCAAAGTTTTGCTTAACATGCAAGTGTTTAAATACTTAACAAGATACAGAGAGTAATGAAATGAGTCCCCATTCTTTTCCTGATTTTGAAAACATTTCTGAAGAGAAAAAATACCTTACCATTTCATATTTTAAAACTCATCTTTACAAACTTTACACAAACAATAGAAATTTCAATCTTGAACCATACTGTGATGAAAAGCATTTTAATTAGCACTCCCAAAGTGGAACAGAACAAAAAATGAATAAAGTAGATCTAATAATGGCATAATAACTACATGTACAACAAGGAAGATTTTCGCTACGATTTTCTCACCTATACGTATTTCAGACTGAAATATGATGGAATGAAAGCATTGTCTGGATCATCTAATCAAGTGAACAGTTTTTGGTTTTTTTTCTTAGCTGTAACCTTTCCATTGTCTTTCATGAATAGGTGCAGTGATATTGAGTCCTTGCACTAATTCTCTATACTACCACTGACTAAAAAAATTTAAGTATTAACTTTATCATATTAAATGGCATAAAGTATTTCGAGCTACCATACACGTGGTACCAAACTGGCACATTGCAAAAGGATTCTGAAGTTAGCATGCTCATACTCGGCCTAAAATCAGATTTTTATCCAATAATGGCTAAGTTTATTATGTAAATTGCTAAGTAAAATGCTAAAACAAATATTTATTTATGAAACGTGTTCTCCTAGGACCCTGAAAGCCTCTGACCCAAAACTATATAACTATTGGCTGTTTGTTTGTTGTCCATGCCCAAGTCAAAGTTACAAGAAGCACTGGCCAAAGGCTTGGGATTCCACACTTTTGGTCAGAGTCCACACTTACACTCAGGAAACCCAGCTCTTGGTGCAGTTGGCTGTAGTTGTCACAAAACATTTTCAGCAGACTTTTCAATTAAAATATATATATTTTAAAATCTAGACTTTTCTCAGGAAAATCTTTTCTATTGAAACAGTTTTAACCAACTCTTGGAAACATTCTCCAGTGATCTTTGTGTTTCTGGAGAGAAAGATTGGCTTTAAGCAATGGAAACAGGTAAATTGTATTGAGGATGTCCAAACAAATTACAGTGGAGACTAAGATACTTAACCAAAATATCTACTGTACTTATCACCTAGAAAGAAATACACTACCAGCATAACAACTAAAATAATCCATGCTGTAGTTTAAATGGTATAGTCTCTGCTCGATGCATACATGTAACTCCTGTTAGCATTCTTGGGAGTAGCATACAAGCATCGAAAGGAGTCTAGACCTTAGTGTCCAACATTCACTCATGGTTAGAATTCTTAATGTTTGCATGCAGAATCCAAACTTCATGTTGTCTAGATTTAATCTATAAACTTAAAATTCTGGTCAAAAAATGATGTCCTACCATTAAAGCCATCCTGGTCTAGATCACCCAGGGGTGCAATAGCACTGCCAAATCTTGCAAATATCTCAAAACCATTCAGCTTTGCGATCTGAAACCCTCCAGAGGCTCTTTGAAGACAAATGGAAACTTGGCCGACCTCTTGAAGTTTCCCATCAGAACCTCGATCCATAAAGAGTGGGGCTCCAATAAACAAATCTGTGTAACTGAACCAAAGAGGGATAAGGTTCTTTTAATAACAGCATGAAAATCCAATTTCATTCTCTCAAGTATCCGTTAGCAGGAATAATTCAGCACTCAAGCCAGTGTTAACATGAAAGTTTCCCATCATTGAATTGCAACAGAAGGCAAATATTTATGGCAAAGGAAGCGATATAACAAACAATTTAACGCATTTAAAGCATGTGAATACACATGCATTTTTGTAAGTATATAAAAAACGAATCTGCACTTGACAAAATGTTGAAGTCTAGTGAAAAAGTCTATTGTACAGATACAATTAACCCAGTTAAACAAGATAAAAAAGCCTATTATAAGCATTTTTTGTTTGTTTTTAAATCTTTCCAGAAATATTGGGTGGAAAGGGGGAAAAGGAGCCCACTTACTCGTCCCCATTGATATCTGTGGCAGCCACTGAATACCCAAAATAGGCAGCCATCTGGAAAACAAAATTCAAAACAAGTTTTTGAGTTCTAATGACATAAACACACAAGAAAGCTTGTGCAAAGCTTTTTAGAATGATATTAGGGAGATGATTATATATACCGTAAAAAAAAAAAAAAAATCTCATTTTTGTCTTCAGTGCTCTGTTAGAAGGTCAACTTGTGAGTTACCTTCCCCATTCTGCCTTTCATGATCCAGTACTCCTTCTCAGTTATCAAAATAGGCAGCATTTGCTCTACCCAGTTAAGATTGTTTTTCTAAGTGGCGTTAAGTGTCTAAGAATCATAGAACCATTAAGGTTGGAAAAGACCAAGATCATCTAATCCAAACATCAGCCCATCACCCCCGTGCCTACCAAGCCATGTCCATAAGCAGCATATCTACCCTTTTCTTGAAAAACTCCAGAGGCGGTGACTCCACCACTCCCCTGGAGAGCCTGTTCCATAAAACAAGAATAGTACCATCAAACAAGAAGAACAGTACCATAAAACAGGAACCGGCAGAACTTACAATTCCTACACATGTAAACATTTTTTTGGCACTGAAGCTAATATAGGGAATTTTACATAATCTAGTACCCAAAATAGTTTCTTAACGTATCATTTCTCGTTAAAAACAGCCTCCCTTTCACCTACCACACTGAAGGAACATACCTGCTCTCCAGTGAAGTTGTACATGGAGGACATGTTTTTCCCATTGTAGATGGACACCTGCACGTGAGAAAAAACACATTATGGCAAAGCAACAACTTTAATCTTTTCATTTATTGTGAAATTAACTGCTTCAAATTTCCTACCATGCCTAGAGTTCTTGCTGCTCTGGGGACTCCTGATACAAAGTCTGAAATACAAAACAAGACACCCATATAACATTCAGTTTCCAAAGCAGAATGCCTTCTTTTGTACAGGGTAGCTCATTCCTAGTGCTTTATACGTTTTCCCTTGCACTTTATCATTTGTTCTACACCACTTATTTGAAAGTCCTGCACAGTGAATTACCATTTTTTACTGATTTTTTACTGAAACAACAATCTTACCTTCTATGCCATCACCACTGAAGTCTCCAACAGCCACGGAATAACCTGATTAAGAGAAAAATCAGTAAATCACTTCAGGAATATTTTTAAGCCTTTCACCTCTCTAAACGTTTCACAAGTCTTGACGCACAAGTCTCTTGCTTCACATTGAAATATAATGAAACAATTTTTTGCCTCTCAGTAGATTAGATGATGAACAGTTACACAAGCAGACTGTAACTCATCAGCTTCTGCGTGAGAAGACAAATTCAGTGGGTGAATTTAACAAACTTTGTATACCAGGTGTTTTACGATGAGAAGTGTGTCAGGCAGTTATTTAGAATGAATACCTGGGAAATGTCCACATTCACCCTTAATATTTTTCTGAATGCAGTTTGACATCGGTAAAGCTAAATGGGAACTTACTACTTGTCAAAGGCAAGCTTCTCATTAGCGTTCTTTACAAACATGATTCTGTCCCATTTTTGCTTCGTTTTGATATGTTATTTAGAAACAACTACTTTTCTAAAATAAATAGCTACGTGAGTAACTTGCCAGGTAAATATCATACCTGATAAGTTGTATTAGGCCTAAATTACAGAGCACCAAAATGTACAGAAATAGTCCCGTTTATTTTGTGATCAGCTGCTTTTTGAGTCAAGATTATGGCAAGGTAACTAAGCTTCTTTCATACAGGCATTACAGCATTTTTGGCTCTCTTCTTATCTGCCAAAATTTAAATTAATACTGTGGTCTACAACTTAATAGAAAGACTATGAATAGCACAAGAGCTTTCGTGTTTGTTTTGTTTGATTGTTTAAGTACAGCAAGATTTACCTCCCTTTCAAACTACATACCCAAGTAGCTGTCATCAAAAGCAGCACTAGCAGGTCTGGTTGCTAACTGGTCGTCATATTTTGTACTGTAGACTTTGGAGTCATATTTAGCCACAATCTCTGTCACTCGATCAGAAATGAGCTGGCCTAAAGGTGCAGAAAACAGCTTAAAACACATGTGCACACATACAGTAAACAAGACAGATTTATGAGATACTTGCTTATAAAGCAGCAGCTCTTCCATAATACTGATCAGAAAACAGCCAACAGCAGCAACAGCAGAAAGGATAAAAATGGAAATCCGGATCCTACTGCAGCAAACATTTATGCACATATTTAATCAAAAGCTCATGACGTGTTTTCACTGAAAATAGAAGCCACTCCTGTATGTAAGGCAGGACTTGAACGAGACTGCTCAGTTAGGTAAAAGTAAGCATATGCTTGTGCTATTTCAGAGCTGAGTCATCCTGCTCTTGTGTCAATTCCATAGAATAAGAGCTTAGTATGGCAGTAAACAAGCTATTAACAAGCTAGTGCTTTACTGCCTTCTTCCTGTTCTCATTTCACTAGCCACTAGATGGTGACTTCATCACATTCCTTTCTTTGAGTTTAAAATTAGATTGTATTGCAAGACATTTTTTTCCAGGAGAGCACTGACTTCACATTTCCAGATGTGTATGCAGCACAGGGACAACTACTCTTCCAGCATCTCAGAACGTGGGGTAAAAGAATAGTTTTCAGAAGTATGCTATTGCTATCTTCTATTCAGAGCTGAGATTTTTCTTCGGTAGTAACAGAAGAGAATAAATAGTTCTAACAGATGAATTTGAATCTTTGCCAGAAAGCAATAAGATGAATATAGGTACATAACGTATATCGTATTCTGTCTGCAGCTGAATTTCAATCATTTCATTTGGTTTGGAGTTTTGAACATAGAACTAGAAAGAAGTCTCTTGTGATGCCAAGCCTACGTGTTGCCTGGCATTATACAGAAAATCTTTTAAATATTTTGGTATTTACATTATAAAATGAAGGCAACAGATGTTGGCAATTCTGCCCTGGTTGTAACAACCATCTTCCAAACTGAGGGCTGCAGGTGAATACTGCAAGACCCAGCAAACAAGTACTCACTGAAGCCCACATTTACAGAATACGAATGAAAAGATGTTAAGAAAATTGAAGAGGTCATCCTATTCTGTAACTTAAACAATGTATCTTACCTTGCCAGTAAAAACTGCCAGGTCCTCCAAGCAGGACTCTGTCTCCCTTGGGGGAAAAAGTAAAAAGGGGGAGGGAAGGTAATCTTCAAATTAATTATTTCTAGAGACCAAGAGAACACGTCCTGTATTCATGGGAACCAAATAACCACATGCAAATACATTGCATGTAAATAAACCACACGTAAATAAGTTGCAGCTTCACTGACCCCCCCCACTCCACCCTTCACATTTTTTGAAGGAATGATTGATTAATCCTAATTAAAAATGTATACACTGTAGAACACTAAGATAAACTACAATATCACTTCAGTGACTTGCTTCTCTATATCATCCATCTAAAATTATCAGCGTCATTTTGCTTTTTGTTTTAGTAGAACTTCATATCCAAGTAAGGCAACAAATATATTTGGGGGAGAGTATAAAGATTGCTACAAACCAATATGATTTTTGGCCAGTACACAAAACTAGACTCATCTTCTGCCCCTCTTTTTTCTACAACTTCTTGTTAGTAATTCAGAAAAGCTGTAATGTAATTCCGCTAATCCATATTCCTTAGTAGAAATGCAGTCCACAAACCATTTTAAGCAACTTGAACCACATTAGCTATCCCAGTGCTGGGAATTTGCTCCATAAGTACTTTACTCAATCAGGCCATTGGCTTTGCTACATAACTAAGCCACTTATCCTCATTTTCATCTAAAAACTCCCACATTCACCTCTCAGAACAAAATAGGTCAGAGATTTGGAGACACCAGTCTTGCCAACTCAGCTAGTGGAGCCCAGCATTTGTTTTAACAGGAGCTAGAGTCTGCACAGTAGTCCTGAAGGGTACAGGCAAAATAAATGAATACTTCTAGGCCAGTATTTACACAGTCTGTGGAGCAGAAACAAGGGTGTCTTCAGGCAAAGAATGAAGGAGTATTATGCAATATAAGGTTTGAAAAACCCAAACGATTGCCACATCGCAAATGGGTCTTACCAGGCCCAGATAATGCTAAACAATTTAAGTGATAAAAAAAATGATGATAGAAGAACTATTGTTAGTTCTGAGATTTAGGCACAATTTTATTGTGAGCAGATTTAAGAAGTTATTCTGAATTTAAAATACAGGTATATTAAAGGAAAGGAGAATATACTATAGAAAAAAAATATAATAAAGAGGGCAAAAAAAGTCTATTTCTCCTAGTCACTGAGAAAAACAAAGCTCCATTCACAAGAATGCTGTCTACAAGTTCCTTTCAGCAGTGAGTTACTTTTCCTCAACAAGTACCATTAGCCATGCACTAGTCCTTCCAGAAAAAAGGGTCTGAAGACATTTTACCTGAGTACTAGCTGCAGCAGGGCTTCATAGCATGAGGCTGGAAAACTGGATTATTTATTTTTGACATGACTCCTAGAAGTGCTAAGTGAGCTGTTATGAAGGCTTAGGGAGAAACATGTTTACACTACTGGAACGATTTGAAGGGATTGTTGTTAGTTTACGAGGAGTTTATTGTTTGCTTTCTCTCCCCGGCTCGACCAGGAATGGTGGTTTACATGTAGTTTCATAGTGTCTCTGCTTGTACGCGGTCTGTATCAGGGTGGTTGTTAAATTGGAACCATCTGCTGAGTAACAGGAGCTAAGTAACAATCACATACCTTTGTAAAGTCAATACTAAATCCACCTTGACAAAATCCTTGCCCATCTGCATCAATAGTGGCTAAAGAACAGATACAGAAGGAAAAAAAAAGAAAATCAAAGATCAAAGTAGTAAATCAGGTTGTTTTGTGGATTCTTCCCAACATCTTTCTAGGTAACATTGCACTCCTGACCTTGAAGTTTGTAAACTTATTTCTCTTGAATTAGTATTTTCTCTTTACAAACAAATCACCATCAAATTCTGTAATACGTTCAGGGCTGGCCTAACATGTACTCTAACCTTAGCATACTTTCCAGCCTATTTCAGTCTAAATAAGCAGCAACTGCATATTTCTTCTGGATTTAATCTTAAACTATCAAGAAAAAGACATTCCTTGTTTTATTCAGGAAACCATGGAAAATATAGAACAAGGTTTGCTTTTCTTACGGAAAAAAATCAAAATTGAAATGTAAATAACGACAGGATATTTGAAGTATTGCTTAAAAGAAAAGTTGCATACCTGGCTGAAAAAATCCCCACACACACTGAGACTCATCTACAGCTGGCTTGATCTTATGACTATATAGCTCCAGAACAGAAATGCAGACCCTCATCTAGTATCGTGACTAACTGAAGTTCATACATTCTTAATTAACCTCTTTTCCTGTTGGACCACAATGGATTTCAACCCTGCCTTTTACTAATGACTTGGGGAAAAAAAAAATAAAAACAAAACTTTATGCAAGTGCTCAACCTTTAGACTTGCATAGTAGGAAAAAAAAAAAAAAAAAAAGAGAAAGAAAAATAGGGTTATAAGCTTTTGAACTGTATACCAACTCAACTACACAGTAAGGATGCAAAGCATTTGGAGAGTAAGACTCAGCATTGAACAGTGAATGTAATTAAAACTGTGTCATCATGTATATACACATTCATGGAAATCTGAAGCTTCCTCTGCACAATTTTGTGCAAGTGAGCTTTTTCTTTAAGCTGCATGAATAATTAAGCTTCAGAAATGTCTAGAGATGGTCGTCAAGTGCCAGATGTGCTGTCCTAATGTTATGCCAATCAGACAGCTGTGAAGAGCATTAAGTGAAATATTATAATGATTACTGCACTGGCTACAGAGGAACATCCACATCTCGAGAGGAAGAAAAAAGGGTTTAGTTTCAACGTGAGAACCATTGCTAGTGAAGTGGTCAATAAGAAGTCTGGCATCTTCTGGTTCCAATTACATTTGAATCAAAGACTTTTCTCTGACCTACAGTAGAGAAATAAGGTCTGGACCCTGATCATCAGTTGGAGAAGAATCCAGATACCTAAATGTAGTTTAGTTTATTTCAAATTGCTATAAGGGGGAAATACCTGTAAAACTTCTTTCTTCAGATATACACAGAATGTAACAAGAAAAATTCCTAACACAAGCACACAAATCACTTACTTGACCTGCATGGTGCATATTCCACAGATTTGGATCCAGTGAGCAGGTAACAAGTTCCCACAGGCTCTCGCTCTTGTTTTGTTTCAGTTCTCCAGTGATACAATGGGGCACAAGCCTAAGGAAGAAGACAGCAGTGAGAAAAAAAAACTCCTTTTCAAAATGCTGCGAGGTGCGGACTAGAAGGACTAACACTATGGAATTGCCTTATTTTTTATTTTTTTAACAGATTAGAAACCAAAGACATTTTGACAGATGCACCATGGATTATTGGAGATTTTGTTCTAGCTGAAATATTTATATCTTTAGAAAGAGCTGACTTAAAACCAAAAATTTAGAAATAATATTTTCTTCAAGCAACATTTGTAAGGAGTTCTTGAAGAATTCAAAACACATTTTTTAACTTCAGAAAATGAATTCTACTAATTTTCTCAAAGCCAGAGAAAATTGCTACAACCTTTGTCTATAAATACTTTAAGAAAAAAAGACAAATCAAGCTGATTAGTGAAGTATTATTTAAATTCTGAGTCATTAAGATCCTTCTGTATCTTTTCTACTACAATACAGCAGTACTGAAGCATCTGAAAAGCAACAAAAACTTACCAAAATTTTATCATTTTTGGATCTCACAGATGCTCCAAACCACTGATGAGACTTAAATTCCAGTGGATCATCAGGAGCAAAATCTCTGTTGCCTACAAAGAAAATGAGGAAGAAGCATAATTTCATGGTGAACTGTTAAAGTAATAATTTAAAATGTTAAGTCACTGATTTTGCCACACCCAGAAAAAAACAGAAAACAGTAACACTGGAAGACATCATCCTTCTAGCAAAATAAGATTTAAAAATGACTTATTGATATTTATTTTTACAATCTAAGCAAAATGCAGCTATTTTTAGTATTGTAAGCACGCAACAGTTAGAGAATCTTTGACAGGAACACAGTAAATATCTCATACTTCAGATATTTGATTTTCAAGTCAGATTACAGCACTGGTCAAGAATCAATGCCAAAGCTAAGAATGTGCTTCTAGAAGAAACATTAACCTGATAAAGTTACGTTAATCTTCCCATTGGCTGGAGTCAGGACAGAAATTCATCTACTACTCTATTGAGTGTTAACATGTCTATTCTGAATGTGACTGCAGCACACAAAGGCAGCAAACAGCATTCTTACAAGTTGTGAGGCAGACAGTAATAACAATGGTAATGAATTTGCTCATAGAGAGGAATAATTTCAGTTTACTCTGTTCAGTGAAGAAGTTTGGTAGGTGCAACTTAGCGAGAGGTATTTTGCACTGTTACGAATATAACAAGTCTTTAAAATGTTTCATATTTCTTATGTGCTTTCAATGGAAAAAGTAGAAACTTTCCCAGCCTCTTGAGAAAATGATTGTAACACTCTGAATTGTTATTATTTTTTAAAACGTTGCCCAAATTGCTGGTTTGCAGTGCCTAAAAGCCAAAGATTCCAAGAGTTCACCAGCCCTACATCACTTCCACAGACCGGAGGGGAACCCCAAGCCCAACCTTGTAATGAATCAGAAGTTCTAGTGCTCGAGACCTGTGACCGCTTGAATCACAACTTCCTTGCAAGTCAGACACCTCAGAAGGCATGCTTTGTCTTGAGAGACTGTGTCACTTCCATTAGGAAAATCCCACGAAAAGTACAGTAAGAGTAGTTCTTATCTTCAATCGGCCAAAACAAGCCAAGACCTGGACTACTCTCATTTTGCTCTATTATCAGAACTACACAGAAGTCAGGGCCAAGCACATAACATCACAGAGAACTATTGTGTCGTGTTTTCTTTTTTTCCTAATTTCAAAGGTAATGAGAAGATGAAGAGAAAAGGAGAAAACCTTCTGTCCTCCTCTCCTTCACTTTCTCACTGAAAAGGTGCTCTAGACAGGGAGGGCCTGATGAATAAGCATATCTGCACAAATATACACACACTGTATACTGTCACAAGATGCTCAGACAAATGTAGTTTGAAGGTCTGCATGTCACCTCCTCACAAAAAAAAAGACCTAAAGACTGCACAAACTATTTTCAAATACGAAATGTCTTGAGCACACATCGAAAGTCTCTGTTTTGCTGTATCTTACTCTTTCCTCGCCTTTAACTCATGAAAAAATATGGACAGTTTTGCTAAAGGATGCAGCTGCTCCCAGAAGGAGTAGAAGTTTCCATGTGATGCTATCCATACGTTCCTGCTGCCAACCTTTGTCATAGCCCTACTCCCTTCCGGCCACATACACAGAAGGAGCCCTATAGAAAAAAAGTAGGTAGATCAGGGCCAAACCCTGCTAACTGCAAGGAGAGGGAGGCAGTGCTGACCTCCTGGGGAGAAGGCAGGGATACAGGGCCAGGACTGGGATCTAAATGCTTTCTGGCAGCATTATTGGTTTAAACTGGGTTTATTCTCATTCTAACACCACACCCAAGGTTACACAGCCTAAAGACAGATCTGGCTCCTACCCTCTGTTTGTCTAGCTACTCTCAAATACAAAGCCACCTCTCAGTTTTACTTGCCAAACAAAGCACTATGCTTTGAAGAACATTAATCTTGTTGGGAACAATTACTTTATGGAGTTTTATGCCTTTGTCTGCTCTTGGATATTTATGCAGCACTACCTATTTATGACTACAATGGAAAGTAGTATAACAGTTTTATACTGTAAAGTGGAATCCTATCCTAAATCTTATAAAAAAGTGGAGGATATAGAGACTTCCACTGTAAGCTTCAAGCACTAGACAATAAGTAGAAGTAATGACCTTGTCAGAATAGCAGGTAAGCCGCCATAGAGGGTTATCAGCAAGCTGATTTTACTGTACACATAAAGGAATTTATTTCCCTCCAGTTTCAGTTGAATGCATCAGCTAAGACATAATGAGGCGATAAAAAAAGACAGATTATTGCTTAGTGGTGCCATCCATCCACAGACTATGGTGATAGCACTGGAAAGATGGGAAGCAATTGTTCATCCAGCACACGCTGCCAGAACAACAGCTCTCCGCCTTTTCCCATTGTATTCCTGAGCTACAGAAGCTCCAGGGCTGCCCACACCGAGGAAGAGGCAACATCCAGGATGGCAGCAATAAACAACTCTTCCTCTTCAGGCTTTCAGTGAAGACATTTTTTTCTACAGTATTTAAAAGGCCGTAATTCTGCTTTACATTAAGGATAATATTAGAAAACTGTCATCAAAATAAAACTGAAAGATGAGCAACAAGGCTTTGAGATACAGAAGCTGGCACAACCCCAAGTCAATTATGTTTCAAGTGAACATGACATCAGAAGCCAGCATCGTGATCTCTGAAAGATTAAAAAAAAAAAAAAAAACACCTGGAAGTTCATATAAAAGAAAAACTAAAAAAAAATCCATAGCACATACAGTAAAAACTGCTCCATTAGACACCTTAGCTAATGTCAGTGCCCGTGCACATAATATAAAACACCTGATTCAAGGATAAAATGCCTCAGAGTGAGTTTATCCTGTATTCAGTGCTTCACTAAGCGAAGGCATTCTTTCCAAAGAGAAGAATGTTCAGCTGGGCCTAAGTTTGTTAGAACACAAAAATCTAAAATCTAGTGGAAAAAAACCTAAATTAAGTGAAATTAAAAAATCTAAATCAAATGAAAAATAATTTGGAGGCACAGACTTTTGACATAAACTGTGAATGTTAAAATACAGGCCTACTCTTAACTCTCCTTAAAGAGGAAAAGTTACTTTTATTTGTCCACCCACTTCCCCTAAAAATTCCCCATAGGAAGCAAACCACAGCGAAGTAGATTATGATTCTTTCTCCCAGCTTTAGTTTTCCCAAAGAAATACTAATTTTATGAGGAAATCCAGAAAACACCTTGCCATCAAAAATTCCCTTGCTTTGAATAAGAAACCATTTGGGTTTCTGTTCTTGACTGGGGAAAACAAACAAAGAACACGTGAGTCTTCATTGGAGCAAATCAAAGTTAAATAAGGTTTATTAGCTTTACTGTGAAGCTAACTGACATTGAGACGGACTTTGATGTTTGAGTATTAGTAGAAATCAAGGGCCTGGTTTTGTTATTGTTTTATCATTGCAAAAGTTTTCAGTGGGGAGGAGAGAAGGGAGAGGGAAGAGAGCTGAGAAAAAAAGCCTCCCTCTGTTAAAAACAGGAGCTGCTTTAAACAAAGCAAACTAATACAGATAGGATTTAGACATACAGGGATTTATAAATCCAAGCCAGTGTTTTGATGTAACATAGTTGCCTTTACTGCTGTGACAGTTGTCATAGCCACTAATGTTTTGCTTCTATTTCTCATGTCCTTTGGAGTATCTGAAGAAAGCCTTATTAGTGCCTTCACACCAGTGCTGCATAATGTAAACCAGGCATTCAAGCAAATATGCCAACTAATACAAATTGGATTCTGACTTTTTTTTTTTTTTTTTTTTTTTTAAACTTCCAATTTCTTCTACAAAAGCTATTTTTTTAGATTAAAACACAGCCATTCCAGGGACTCCTCCATCATGGCTCATTAATTCCAAGACTGTGTCATTTGACTGTAGGGTTGTATCTGAGAAGACAACTTATGCTGTGGTTTTTCCCTTTGCTCCTTCCCATTGTAGTAGACATCATATGATGATTTCACATGTCTTTTTCAATATGGATAAAAGGCTGCCATGGCAAGCCAACAGTGCTTTGTCTCATAAAATTCCCTCCTTGGGAGGGGGTGTGAGATGGCAGTGATGGTCAAGGTCAGGAAAATTCCACACATGAGTGCTCCTGGACAGAGGAGCATCATCACTTCACTAGATTACATAAGATTCTAAATTGTGAACTTCAATACATGTGATTACAATTTGTGAAAAACAACGTGAAGGGATGCTAACTAGAATTAATAGTCTAAATCATCTTCCAAAAGAAAATAAAAAGATCACAAGCTTTTTAAAACTGATTTGCTTTTGGCTAGCAGCTTTGGGTAGCTGCTGCCTTCTATTTCCCAATGCAAAAGTTACCAGTTATAAAGATATTACTATAAAGTGACAGGAGCTGTCTCTAACTTGTAGCCTCTCTGGTTTTTGTATAGTAACGACAGAACTGCACTCATCCATTTACTCTTGCTCTGGAGTGCCAGTCTGAACTGAGACAACCGTGAGACAAGAAGCAGTGAACTGAAGAAGCCTGGCTCAGTATCAGCATGCTATAAGCACTAACGAAGTTGTGAACCTTAAATAGCCACCCAATTCACCATATTTCTGTCAAAATAAACTTCTTTGTAACAAACCCAAAGTAAAAGATGCTGCCAGTCCTAGGTAAAAGGAAACACAATACAGCTAGCCAGAAGAAAAACCTTATAAAACATACCAGCGTACTATTATCATAAGCCAGAATTTGACACAGCAGAAAGCCAGCTATCTGACATCTAAAACCTCAGAGATTTCACCCCTAGTTGCAGGCAAGAAGGAGCAAGTCCAAGTTTAACTTCACCTGAAAGTCCCGATGCCGTGAGGTAGCTGATGACTCACAGGGTTTAGCAACAGTGCTTTGATACTGGCTCAGGATACAGAGGAACACAGAGATTCCCACTACTCCCCTTCCCTCTCCTATGCTATGAATCCTGTTTCTCTCTCTGGGCAGAGCTGGAACAACGGGATCTTTACCTTTGCCTACTATAAGTAAGAGCCTTTTTTTTTTTTTTTTCCCAGCTT